CGCTTGCAAAAGCAGCACGCTGGATAGAAAGACCCCGAGCCGCAACGAAACAAAACGCAACACCAGCTGGAGTTGCATATTCAAACACACCAGCACCCAACAACGATGCGTCGCTGGCGCCAAAACACAACATACAGCAGGACGCATCACTCCGAACTCTGATGGGCGTCGTTTGCTGGATTCGTTTAAACCAAAAAAACGAAACATGTTTAGAACAAAAAACAAAACAACAAACCAAACCACTCCAAACATATAGCCAAACAGCGTTTAGGTCGCGCGCTGAAGTCCACGAGGGCTCCTCGAGAAGTGACAACGAAAGGTGTCACATGAGTCGGGTCCCCTCTTCAATAAGGGCTCCTTGAGAAGTGAACACACGACAGTTGTCACGCATGACGGCTATTTAGTTTGTTCGCCTTCCTCCTCATCATCCTTCCTTTCTTCCTCATCATCATAATCATGATCACCCTGTTCGTCGTCGTCGTCCTCCTCCTCATCATCATCAGCGTCGCCGTCATCATCGTCGGGAGGGCCCTGGCCGAAGGCCCCACCGGATCCACCTGACCCCGAAATCCCCCAAATCGCCTCCAGGTCGCGCCAAGAGGGTCCACCAGGCGACGGGACGACCTGCGAGAGCTCCAGGACGGCCCCCGAGAGATTCATGGCGCGCCAAAACAGCCTCAGAGGACGCCGAGACGGTTCCGCTGAAGGTCAGGAAGGGCCAAGATAGCTTCACAATGGCCTGAAACGATTGAAGGTCACCCCACGGCCGCCCCTGACGGTTCCAAAAGACACCGCAAAGCAGTTCTGAGGTCACCAAGGGCATACCACAGTCCTCGGCAACAGATGGCGACGGCCAAGACGGCCGAAAAGAACGCCCAGAGCGCCCCATGACAGCCCAAGAGAGGCCGATGACAGCCCAAGAGAGCCCCAAGACAGCCCAATACTGCCATAGGACGGCCTAAGGGGCCCCAAGACAACCCAAGAATGCCCCAAGAATGGCCCAGGGGCCTCAGACCACCCAAAGAGGCGACCAGACCACTGCGCGATTCTTCATAAGGGGTCGGCGGATGTGGCGCAAGCCTGAAGAATCTTTTGCTCTTCGTTTTCAAGGGCTTGTGAATCTACCCCCCAAATGGGGTACGATCGAAGACGAAGAGGGCGGGTATCCAGGGTTCGGGACATGCATATTGAATGGCACGCGAGCAGATAAGAGCGAGCAGTCTTAAACTGAGTAGTGTTGTTGTTGTTGTTGTCAGTGTAGGTTTCTAGTTGTTTGTTTGATACTTACATTCCATTGTTGTATATTTACACACATATATATAGATTAAGAAATCGAGGCGACGAGCTTCGAGAATGCTGCTGCCCCGTGCTCCCCGCCGAGGCCCCTTCCAGGTGCAGAGGCGGCTGCCAGCGCTGGCAGCGCTTCTCGTCGCGGACCCGCCCCTGCTGCTGGTGGGCGTGCTGCTCCGTATGCCGACGAGGAGACGGCGGACGACGACACGGCCGAGGCCGACCTCGGCCATGGAGGCAAGACCGTCAGCCTCGACGGCAGTGGCCTGACCTTGGCGGCCGAGGCCGCGATCGTGAAGGCGTCGAGGCCGAAGGGCAAGAAGGAGCGCAGGGCAGAGTCCGTGGCGGTCCTCCGTGCAGGGCAGCCAGAAGGTAAGGGGGCCTGGCGGCCGATCTCGCGATCCGCGGACAGCCAAGGAGGTGGTGGACGGCGAGGCCGATGAGGCGCAGGGCGAGCTCCGAGCTGCAGCGGATCTTCGTGGTCTCACGGGGGCCACGCGGGGCGGTCGTGGGAGCTCCTCGGGGCAGGCCCCCCTGCAGGCGCGGACCCGACTCGGCAGCATGCGGCGCGAGACCTGGCTGGAGCACGACCTCTACGCGAAGCTCCCCATGCAGGAGTCGCTGCGGGAGGAGGGCTGAGGTGTATTCCCTGGGAAATGCGTGGGTCTCCTGCAGTGTGCGCTCGGGCTCATGGCTCCGACTGTTCCGTAGGTGTAGGAGGACGGCGCGGAGAGTATTGTGCATACCCGTCCGCGCTGCCCCACCCTGGTTTGGGTAGTTCATGCCAGTTCGTGCGGGGGCGTCAGCTCCCGTGACATGTGGCGTGCGCTACCTCAAGGGCGAATGCATCGGTCCTGCCAAAAGTTTCAAAACTTTCTCCTCCTCCTCCTCCTGCCTCTCCCCCGACACGGCAGGACGCGGGCTGGCACGACCATGTCGGGATGATACCGAAGAGTGGCCGAGGTCGGCTCCACCAGTGCGTGAGCAGAACAATCACAAACCGCATAAGCAAAGACTTTCGGAGGTGCGCGCGGAGCTTTTGGGAGATCGGCGCTGGACCCCCCCCCCCTCCCTGGCGCGCGGAGCGCGTCAGGGAGCGGCGCTCGAGGCGCCGCCCAGGGGGGCCCAGCGCCGATCCAGCAGATCCGCCCGGAGCTCCGACAGTTTACGTTTGTGCAGTTTTCTCGTCCCCGATGCTAGGGAGTGGATACACAATGGGCGAATAGGCTTCACGAGAGCGTGGGGAGAGTACTCTGGTCCGCAGCGGAAGGCATGCACCGCAAGAGGCATCAGCTCGCCTGAGGCAACCGAATTGCGAGCGCGGACTGTTAGCAACCACGGCCCTCGCCCGTGGGCGGCGAAGTTCGACTAGAATCTGCTTCCCGCCTGTCCCGCTCCTAACTCTCGCGGCCCACCCAGGCCTCCCACGTCTTTCCCACCCGACAGGTTGGGGCTGTTAGATCTGCGGTCGGAGCCAAGCCAAAATAACATCATTCAAGAACAGGAGACCCTCCGCAGGCCAAACACACACACACACAGAACATCCGAGGGTACCCTCTCCAGGATGCACCAGAGCATCCAACAAACACGCAGCACATTAGGACACCCTCCCCAAACTGACCTCGATCAGATACCTCGGTCCGACTGCATGGAAGGAGAGCTCCCGACCCGCTTCGCACATCCCGCAAACCGCGGCCGCCGGGCCCCAAAAGCGTGCGGGTGCTCGCTAGGTATTCCGCCTCGCGTCTTCGATGAATGACGACTGCACGCCGCGCCGCCGGGCCCCCAGGGGCCCGCTGGTGCCTGGGGATCCCGCCTCGCGTTCTCGGGCGGGGGTCGCTCGGAGCCAAACAATTTGTTGATGCTTGTTTTTAGCCTGGTTCGTTTTTTGGAGAAGCTAGTAGCCCAAAGGGGGCTCCAGAGGCAAGAAATGCATACAAATCAGCAGCCCCTCTTTGTCCGTGACGCCGACACTGCCCAGAATTTCAGGACGGGTCCAGCCGTGGCCGCAAGGACGCCCCAGGAGGCCCAAGCAGAGCCCAACCACCTCCACCCTCTCCCCACCCGTACGCTCTCTATCAGCGGGGCCCGGCGTGGCACGTTGGCAATGGCCACGGCCTCGCGGCATCCCTCGCATCCGCTCGGCGGCGGCCCGGACAGGTCCGCGCGAGGCCTCCCCCAGGGGCGGGGGTGCGCGCGGCGAGGAGGTCGGGGCGGAGGGCTGGGGGATGGAGGAGACTCTGCAGGGGGGCTCGTGGGCAAGGAGGGGGATGATCAAGGGGTGGAGGAGCAGCAAGAGAGGATCATGGACAGACAACGTCTGGCGGTTTTTGTTGTGTCCTCTATCTTTGTTGATGAAAAGACTTCCGGAGGTCTCTGGAGGGCTCCAGGAGCCTCCAGAAGCCTCCTCTGGACCTGCGAAGACATCCAAAGCCTTCCGAAGACGTCCAGGGGAAGATGAATACAATGATGGTGATGCTGCTGCTGATGATGAGGGTGTTGATGATGACGATGCAGAGGATGATGATGCACTTGCTTCTATCAGGCCAAGATGATTCTCGCAGTGTTGCCAAGCTCGCTTCGCGACACAGGCTGCCACAATACTGCGGGCCAACTCATGAGAGCGAGCTCGCTTTCAGCACAGATAATCCTGCAAACTTCCGCTGTGAATATGTGGGCTGGCACAGGGCACGAAAACAACCGCTTGAGCCGCAAGTGGCGGCCATGCACATTAACAACAGCATTGCGCGCTCTGTTCCACTGGGTACCCTGTTACACAGCGCTGCTACGTGCACTTGTTTCTATCAGGCCAGGATGATTCTCGCAGTGTGGCCAAACTCGCTTCGCGACAGAGGCTGCCACGAGACTGCGAGCCAACTCGTGAGAGCGAACTCGCTTTCAGCACAGACGAATCTGCCACCAACGGCCATTATCTGCGACCTGGCGGTTGAGGCGGCTCATACTTCCCAGACGATTCACTAGTGAGCTCACCAGCACACGCTTCATGCACACAGTGCGACCAAATGGATAGGAGGCGAGGAGGGTCGGGCTCTGAAGTTTGTGTCCACAGACGCCCGCCTGGCGCTTTACCTTCCAGCGCGCGGTGACGTCTGCCCGAGAAACGACACTCAGGGCCCGCACAAACGGCCGACAATGTATTGAGAATGCCTCGACCTCCATCCTAAGAAACAATCGTCGTAGCTTTACGCCAGGCTGTGCCGAACCTACAATATACCATGTGTCTGTCAAAGAGGCGTGCTGCGACAAACGAGTCATGGCGGGCTGTCTCCACGGCCGCGAGTTACGGGGATTCTCTAGCGGCGCATCGCAATTATGCTTAATGCAGGCTCTAACTATACGTATGGAGATCTGCAGCAAACGGTTGCCTTTGCGCACTTTATCAGCATCCGTTGGGCTGAGATCAGGGAGACCTTCAGGAAACTGCCGCGATCGCAAGCGATCCCGGCTTGCCGCGTCTTGCTTCGAAAAACTGGCGCAGGGCTCGCCGAGATGGACATGCTTCGCACTCGGCAACAATGACAGCACATGCCTCACAACTCTTTCTTTTGTCAAGTCCTGAGCGCTTGCATCACTGATCTCAAAGGTATCAGCGCTGCAACCACTGCGCTGCATTGACAAAGCAAGGCGCATCGCTCCTGCAAACAGCTCAAGCGAAGGAGGGCGGCAGGCGACAGGCTCAGTCGACGGCGTCAGGCGAGCCCCAACTCTCGCCGCCTCTGGTCGAACGCCACGGCGCGGCCGGCGTGCGGGGCGCCTTCCAGGTGGGCGTCGGCCTCGGCTAGCAACAACTGGCGCCCGCGATCCAGCGTGGCCAGCCTGCGCATCGCCCTCGAACCCTTCTCGTACCTTCTGACGCTGAGGTCCGAGGCCCATCTCTCCCGACGCTTGATGGCCTCGAGGGCCCTGTCCTTGTTGAGCCATTCGTGGGATGGGTCAGAGTGGCGCAGGATGTCGGGCGTCGGCTCCCAGCCGTCCAATCGTGCCAGGCGAGCCGCATTCTTGAACATGACGTTGAAGGCCGCGCCCGACCACGGGAAGAGGAGCTGCGTGGAGCGCGGGGCCCAGGCGCGAGGCCCGCTGCTCCACCATCGGGCCGAGGTACGGCCTTGACGGGCTGTCCAGCAAGATGGAGTCTTTGAAACCGTTTGTCTCGGTCGCCACGTGCTCCTATTCGGGCGTCAGTGCGAGCGATGTGAAGCTGTAGTCTCCCCTTGCCCGCGGCTATGCTGGCGCCGCATGCGTCGCTCGCAGCGACAGCAGCTCCCCCGGTTTCAGGAACGCGTCCGCCGCCAGCACCACGCCGAGCCCTGCTCGCTTCAGCGCCTGGCCGACCAGCGCCACCGCGATCGCCGCCGCGTCCGCCCAGGGCACCGGCGCGCGCGCGACTGGCGGCACCAGGCGCTCCCAGCCATCGCACGCTGGTGCGAGAGAAAGTGGCCAGACTAAGGGCTGCCCACTTCCCGAGCAGAACAAGCACCAGATGAGACACTGCACGGCCCCGCTTAAGACTCAACGCCATGCCCGTGTTATCGCACGGAAAAAGATGACGAGAACGACGATGTCGCTTCTGTCGGCACTTCCTCCTCCCACCGAACAATACAGCCGTCAACTCCTTCAAGTGAATCGCCTTTCTCTTGTGGTACATCCTTGCCTGCGTGGTCCTCCAAGACGCCTCCTTTACGAAAGACTCAGGCAACTCGGGAAACTGCACGTAAATCTCCACCTCTACCTCCTCCTCTCGTGGCCCAGAGATATCCCGAGGACGCCCCAGATCGTCCGAAGCACCAGGGGGTCCCTGCAGGATCCCAGCGAGCCCTGAAAGGTCCCCATCAACTTCATGATATCCGCGACGAGGCCCTGCTCGCGCCACTGGCAGGCCACCAAGACGGACCTGCCCAAAATCTCCACGAGCCCCAGCGTCGACGGGCTCTCCCGAGACACCCGGAGGAGGATCGGAAGCACCCGGGGGAACTTCGAGGCCTGGCGGGTCTCCAGTTGGATCCTCAACGGCGGGATGGGAGAAGCTGCGGCGATAGACAAGAGAAGAATCTCCCTCTGCAACGCCCTGACAGCCGAGCGCCAACTATCGAGGCCGCCGCGCCTGCGCGATGTGGAAGCGCCAGCGTTCGTTCCAGCGCCCCACCTCGCGCGCCGCTATTGGGTCGACGTGGGCCTCCTGCACGGCGTAGCCCCTGAGCGTGGCATCCGAGCAGGTCACCAACCCGGACCGCGGCAAGCTGAACTCGACCATGAGCACCGGCAGCACGTTTATCGCGTTGACCAGCTCCTGCCTCGCCGAGGGCCACAAGGCAACGGGCCCCCGGTAGGGGCGCCTCGCGGGGCGCCTCGCGAAATCGTAAACCGACCCGCTCAGGGCGAGCCTGTTCAGCAGCATCGCGCGCGTTCAGTGGCCGATCAGCATCTCCACCTCCTGGCCTTCAACCTGCCTGCGCCGCAGGAGCGCCTTCGTGCCCTGCAGCAGCAGCCAGCGCTTTGCCCGCGCCAGCCGCGCCTTCAGCCGGATGCCGTCCAGCTCCGGCCCCAGCGCCTCCACCGCGCTCTGGCCCTCCTCTACCTCTCCCTTAGACTTCCTCGGAGTCCAGTGCAGCGACAGTCAGTCAAGGCTACTCCTCCATCCCCCTCTATGCGGTTCCGGAGATCCCCTTCAGCACCCAAGCCCATGCCATTGTACGTACCGTAGCTGTGAGTGCCGCCATCGATGGAGCTCCATGGTGGGCCACGAAGCGTGTGAGGGTGTATCGACATGGGCCCGAGAACGCTCTGCGATCGCTGCCACTGGGGCCTCTGGTGGGGCTCCTTATGGGGCCACGGAGTGTGCGAAGGGCGCGCCACAATTTACCCGAGGCCGCCATGCGACCGCAGCCACTGGAGCCTTCTTTGGAGCTCCCTCTGGGGCCACGAAGCTTGTGAGGGGTGTGCCAAAATGGAGTCGAGGCCGCCTCACGACCGCAGCCACTGGGGCCCTCGGTGGAGCCCCCCTATGGGGCAAGACGTATCAGAGGGGTGTGCCGAAATGGACCCGAGGCCGTCAAGCGACCACAGCTACTGATTACCTTCGGTGGAGCTCCGCACGAGGCCACGAAACGTTTGAGGGGGCGTGGCGAAAAGGACCCGACGCCGCCATGCAACCGCAGCCACTGAGGCTTTCGGTGGAGTTCTTTGTGAGGCCACGAAGCGAGTCAGGGGCATACCGAACGAAGCGCAGCAAACGCAGCAGAAGCGGCAGGGATGGAAGGAGGAAAGAAGAGGATGAGCAGGAAGAGTAGAAGGGAGGAGGGGGAGGGGACATGCCATGGCCCCCACTGTGTATGCGCTTGCAGATTTGCGCGTGACATCCTTGCGCAGGGGCCATGCTACTCTCCGCTGTATCGTTCACATTTCGACGGATGGTCCCCGAAGAGAATCCGAGGAATTGGAAGAGGAGGAGGAGGAGGAGGAGGAGGAGGAGGAAGAGAGGAGACGCGCCGCGGAGGGGACTCAAAACGAGGACCCAACACACGGGCGTGTTGGCAAACACGTGCTGCGCACGAGGAGAAGAGCGCAGATCTCGCTCGTTCCTCCTCCCGTGCCTGCCCTGACCCGGCGCTGCGCTGCTCGCCCTCCCCCCCACGCTGCGCTTGACTTGCTGCCGCGTGCGGGGCTGGTTCGGTCCCCTGGCCTCGCGCTGCTGTTGACCCTCGCAAGCCCGAGTCGGGAAGCCACTGATGAATGCCTGTGGGCCGACGGTACCTTCGATCGACGCGCATCGGTGGCACCCACAATCCTGGCGCCCACAGCTGGGGTTGAATGGGAGTGCGATCACCCAGCCACGCGATCGCGCAGAAATTGAACCTGGGCACAGTTCTGTAAGAGTGGGAGCACACACTTCTGGCATACTGCCCAATACTCTCCTTCCTCCTGCCCCAACTTCCCAGACCCCCGACGTCGTGCTTGTTTCGCGACGTGACCCTCAGAAGTCTGGACCTCTTTCCAAGGACAAGTTTTTCATCCTGAATCGTTTTTGGACGGTCCCGAGACCCGGTGAGGGCCCCCAGAGGCCGAACATAGCGAAAAACCTCCCGTCGTGTTTTTTCCGATGCGCGAGGGGGTCTGGGTTCAGCGCCGACGCCTACACGCTGCAGGCCCTTGCCTTGCTCCCTCCCCGTCGCCTGAGCCGCCCATTGGTGAAAGAATAACTGCCTGCAGCCGGCGACGGTCAGCCTCGCAACGGGATGGCATCACAAGGAACAACAAGGAGACGTGCTCCTCGTTCTGCTCCTCCTGCTGCTCCCCCTCCTCTTCCTCCTCCTTCTCCTCTTCCGCTTCCTCCTCCTCCTCCGCCACTATATCTGGGCTGAACGCCTAGCAGCAAGCCAGCCTCGACAAAAGCTTATGGATTGGCCCTGCAAAGCCTAGCCGACCCTATCGGCTTCTTGGCGTCGAAGGCGTCTGCCCAAACGTTTGCATGAAAATAAGTGCCACGCCCTAAACCGCAAGCTGCGCAATGTGGAACCGCGATCCAGCACAGTCCCATACCTAAACGATCTGGTAGTGACCTTCAGCGGCCCTAAGATCACACCCCGAAAGGGATGCGCAAGAACTTTTGCTTAGAGTGTCGCGGCGGCAGCCCCGGCGACATGCTAGAAACTCTGCACGTTGACGCCTGGTGACCGGGACGTGGATAGCGTACCGCGCCAATTCGTGGTGGAAAAGAACCGGCGGCGCGACACGCTAAGCCAGAATTCCTAACCGTAACCACGGTCGGGGAGACGTAAGACTCGGGGTCGGGGGACTCGGGATGGCCCGACGGGGCCGTCAGGAAAATGACGAGACCCAGTCTGAAATTTGACGCGAGCCCCCGCTGCAAACATCCCACCTAAAACTGGACCGTCAAAATCCAAGATGGGCTCGTTAAAAGATATCGCCAAACCCAAATTCCGGCGAACTCGAGTCCCGGCGAACTCGAGTCGTGCGATCCCCCGACACGAGGCTGCCCCAAATCACTGGTTCAAGGCACACCAGCTTTTCGCTGACAGCTCTTGCGAGCGCGCTCTACAGTCATCCTGCTACCAAAGGGAACGATGACTGAGGAACGAGGAAGCTATTCTGGACACAACGAGCCTCGACCACCAACAGGCTCCCCGACCAAGACGTAAGGAGCAGCCCGAAAACCAGAGCCCCTCGAGGGTCTGGCTGGGTCGGCAGGAGGAGAAGGAGGAGGATGAGGAGGAGGAGGAGGCGGAGGACGAGGACGAGGACAAAGACGAGGACGAGGAGGAGGAGGAGGACGAGGAGGAGGCGGAGGAGGAGGAGGAGGAAAAACAGGAGGAGGAGGGTGATAATGAGGAGGAGGAGGAGGAGGAGGAGGAGGAGGCGGAGGAAAGGGGAGGAGGAGGAGGAGGAGGAGGAGGAGGAGGAGGATGAGGAGGAGAAGGAGGAGGAACAGGAGTAGCAGGAGGAACAGGAGGATGAGGAGGAGGACGAGGAGGAGGAGGAGAAATCGGATGATGAGGAGGAAAAAGAGGAGGGGGAGCAGCAGGAGGAGGATGAGCAGGAGGAGGAGGAGGCGGAGGAGGAGGAGGAGAAGGAGGATGTGCAGGATGAGCAGGATGAGGATGAGGAGGACGATGATGGTGACGAGGATGATGCTGAGTATGATGCTGCTGCTGATGCATGTGATGCTGTTGATGCTGACGCTGATGGTGCTGATGATGCTGCTGCTGATGAGGATGATGTTGCTGCTGTTGCTGTCGATGATGATGAGGATGCTGATGCTAATGCTGATGCTGATGCGGATGCTGATGCTGCTGCTGTTGATGATGCTGCTGATGATGTGGAGGAGGAGGAGGAGAAGGAGGAGGAGCAGGAGCAGGAGCAGGAGGAGGAGGGGGAGGGGAGGAGGAAGGAGGAGGAGGAGGAGGAGGAGAGGAGGAGGCCACGCAGGAATGGCAGGAGGAGGGGGAGGAGGAGGAGGAGGAGGAGGAAAAGGAAGAGGGGGAGGAGGAGG